AACTGCAACCCAGATTTTGCGCTTTCTTCTTTCACCTTGATTAATTAAAAAGCTCCTCAGCTCCTCTTCATTTTCGACCATCAAAGTGGTGTCATCTGCATATCTAAATGTTTTTTAAGTGGTACTTTTCAGGTATTAAAACAATTCTGACACTTCCTGTTGTGATTTTTGTTTTCATGTGAATCCAATCAAAAAAACATCCATTTCTGTTTCATTGACTGTTCTAAAGCCTTTAAAGCCACTGTGTGGCTTTAAAGTTCTAAAGCCACTGTGTGGACCATAACAAATTGTGGCAAGTTCTTGGTGGTATGGGCATACCAAATCACCTTGTCTCGCTCCTGAGGAATCTGTATAAGGACCAAGTAGCAACAGTAAGAACTGACCATGGAACCTCAGACTGGATCAAGATTGGGAAAGGAGTGCAGCAGGGTTGTATACTCTCACCCAACCTATTCAACTTGTATGCAGAACACATCATGCATGCGATGTTCGGGGCTTGACAAATGCAAGGCTGGGGTTAAAATTGCTGGAAGAAACATTAACAACCTTAGATATGCAGATGATACCACTTTGATGGCCGAAAGCTAGGAGGAACTAAGGAGCCTTATCACCAAGGTGAAAGAAGAAAGCGCAAACGCTGGGTTGCAGCTAAACATTAAAAAAAACAAGATTATGGCAACAGGAATGATTGATAACTGGGAAATAGAGGGAGAAAACGTGGAGGCAGTGACAGACTTTGTATTTCTAGGTGCAAAGATGACTGCAGACGCAGACTGCAGCCAGGAAATCAGGAGACGCTTCCTTCTTGGGAGGAGAGCAATGACCAATCTTGATAAAATAGGGAAGAGCAGAGACATCACACTGGCAACAAAGATATGTATAGTCAAAGCCATGGTATTCCCTGTAGCAACCTACGGATGTGAGAGCTGGACCTTAGGGAAGGCAGAGCGAAGGAAGAGAGATGCTTTTGAGCTGTGATGCTGGAGGAAAGTTCTGAGAGTGCCTTGGACTGCGAGAAGATCCAACCAGTCCATACTTCAGGAAATAAAGCCCGACTGCTCATTGGAGGGAAGGACAGTAGAGGCCAAGATGGAGTACTTTGGCCACATCATGAGAAGAAAGGAAAACTTAGAGAAGACAATGATGCTGGGGAAATTGGAAGGAAAAGGGAAGAAGGGCCGACCAAGGGCAAGATGGATTGATGGCATCCTTGAAGTGACTGGATTGACCTTGAAGGAGCTGGGGGAGGTGATGACAGACAGGGAGCTCTGGCGTGGGCTGGTCCAGGAGGCCACAAAGAGTTGGAAACGACTGAACAAATGAACAACAACAAGTTCTAGCTCAGCTCCAGATACCGTTGAATATGGTCATATCTTTTTCTACCAATTACCCAGGTTACTTTCTGCTATCAGGCCCCGGAAATTAACAGCCGTAGACTCTACCTAATTTCCCGGGCCCTCTACAAATTGCACTAGCCTCGGCCCGGCCTTTTAAATGGCCTTGAAGAGGCAGGATTATTTTAAATATATATGTGCTATTGTGATTTTTTAATGCTTATATTATCTTGTTAATTTTATATTATTTATTTATTTATTTACGGCATTTATATGCCGCCCTGCTCACCCCGAAGGGGACTCAGAGCGGCTTACAAGTAAAAAGTAAATACAATATATTATATCATTATCATAGCACAATATTAATATTGGGTTGTTGTAGGTTTTTTGGGCTATATGGCCATGATCTAGAGGCATTCTCTCCTGACATTTCGCCTGCATCTATGTCAAGCATCCTCAGAGGTAGTGAGGTTGTTTGTTTATCTTGCCAAATGCAAGGGCGGAAAAGGACGAAAAAGGGTTTATTTATTTGCTGTGGTGTCAGATTGAAAAGGGGGAAATCTTGTGTTTGTGGTGTCTGCACATGGATATTTTTATGAATACTAGCCGTCCCCTGCCACGCGTTGCTGTGGCCCAGTCTGGTGATCTGGAAAATAAAGTAATGAGAAAGTGTTGGTTTCTAATCTATGTAATTTCTTTCTGCTTGTAGGTAAACAGTATTTCTTGCTGTTTCTTTGTCAGTGTTGATGTGGAGACTGTCTGGTTTGCCTACTCTGGAACATGCAACATATCATTGCCCTTTTTTAGGGCTCCCTTTCAAAGCTATAATACTATATCTGTCTGTGAATCATATATATCTATCTATATCTATGGCTGGATGGCTCTTTGTCAGGAGGGCTTTGATTACATTTTATTGCACTGGTGAAGGGAGTTGGACTGGATGGCCCTTAAATATTTTCTTTTGATCATGGGGGTTATGTGTGGGAAGTTTGCCCCAATTCTGCCCCAATGCTCTTTGATTGTAGATGAACTATAAATCTCAGTAACTACAACTCCCAAATGTCAAGGTCTATTTCCCCCAAACTTCAGCTGTGTTCATATTTGGGCATATGGAATATTTGTGCTAAGTTTAGTCCAGATCCATCATTTTTTGACACAGTGCTCTCTGGATGTAGGTGAACTACAACTCCAAAACCAAAGGACACTGCCCACCAAACCCTTCCAGTATTTTCTGTTGGTCATGGGAGAACTGTGTGCCAAGTTTGGTTCAATTCCATTGTTGGTGGGGTTCAGAATGCTCTGATTGTAGGTGAACTATAAATCCCAGCAACTATAACTTCCAAATGACGAAATCAGTTTGAGTGAAGGACATACATTGGGTTATGTGTCGTGTGTCCAAATTTGGTGACAATTGGCGTTGCTGAGGCCTAGTCTGTGTATGTGTTTTGTGTGTGTATATATTTGTGCATATGTGTATATATGTGTGTTTGCGTATATATATATGTGGTTTTGTGCATGCGTTGTAATGTATTTTTTTATTTTTTTTGGGCTTTTTAAGTCTCTTCCGCTGTGTTTTTTAGAGTGTTGGTCACTCGTTGGCCTGATATGAGTATTGTGTCCAAATTTGGTGTCAATTCGTCCAGTAGTTTTTGAGTTATGTTAATCCCATAAACCAGGGGTCCTCAAATTAAGGCCCAGGGGCCGGATGCGGCCCTCCAAGGTCATTTACCTGGTCCTCGCTCAGGGTCAACCTAAGTCTGAAATGACTTGAAAGCACACAACAACAACAACAATTCTATCTCATTAGCCAAAAGTAGGCCCATACTTCCCATTGAAATGCTAATAAGTTTATATTTGTTAAAACTGTTCTTCATTTTAATTCTTCTATTGTTTTTAGGTTTCTTTTGCACTACAAATAAGATATGTGCAGTGTGCATAGGATTTCATTCATGGTTGTTGTTTTTTTTTTTCAAATTATAATCCGGCCCTCCAACAGTTTGAGGGACTGTGACCTGGCACTCTGTTTAAAACGTTTGAGGATCCCTGCCATAAACGAACATTACATTTTTATTTATATTGAAGATTGTGATTTTTTAATGCTTATATTGTCTTGTCAATTTTATGTTTATGTTGCTTTCCTTGTATGTATTGATGATGTTACTTGGAAACAGTTCTGAGTCCCCTCGGGGAGATAGAGCGGTATATAAATGAAGTTTTGTTGTTGTTGTTGTTGTTGTTGTTTAGTATCCCCTCTTTGTCCCTCCAGGAGCGTGTCTTCTTTCCCCGCCCTCCCTTGTTGTTGTTGTTCATTCGTTCAGTTGTCTCCGACTCTTCGTGACCTCATGGACCAGCCCACGCCAGAGCTCCCTGTCGGCCGTCACCACCCCCAGCTCCTTCAAGATCAGTCCAGAGAGCTCCCTGTCGGGTGTCACCACCCCCAGCTCCTTCAAGGTCAGTCCAGTCACTTCAAGGATGCCATCCATCCATCTTGCCCTTGGTCGGCCCCTCTTCCTTTTGCCTTCCACTTTCCCCAGCATCATTGTCTTCTCTAGGCTTTGCTGTCTCCTCATGATGTGGCCAAAGGACTTCAACTTTGTCTCTAGTATCCTTCCCTCCAATGAGCAGCCGGGCTTTATTTCCTGGAGGATGGACTGGTTGGATCTTCTCGCAGTCCAAGGCACTCTCAGCACTTTCCTCCAACACCACAGCTCAAAAGCCTCTCTCTTCCTTCGCTCAGCCTTCCCGAAGGTCCAGCTCTCACATCCGTAGGTGACTACAGGGAATACCATGGCTTTGACTAGGCAAGGGATCTTGGTTGCCAGTCTGATGTCTCTACTCTTTACTATTTTATCGAGACTGGACATTGCTCTCCTCCCAAGAAGTAAGCGTCTCCTGATTTCCTGGCTACAGTCTGCATCTGCAGTCATCTTTGCACCTAGAAATACAAAGTCTGTCACGGCCTCCACATTTTCTCCCTCTATTTTCCAGTTGTCAATCATTCTTGTTGCCATAATCTTGGTTTTTTTGATGTTTAGCTGCAACTCAGCTTTTGCGCTTTCTTCTTTCACCTTGATTAGAAGGCTCCTCAGCTCCTCCTCGCTTTTGGCCATCAAAGTGGTGTCATCTGCATATCTGAGGTTGTTAATGTTTCTTCCAGCAATTTTCACCCCAGCTTTGCATTCATCAAGCCCCGCACATCCGCATGATGTGTTCTGCATACAAGTTAAAAAGGTTGGGTGAGAGGATGCAGCCTTGCCGTACGCCTTTCCCAATCTTGAACCAGTCTGTTGTTCCGTGGTCAGTTCTGACTGTTGCTACAGAGATGCCAACAGTGAAGGTTACTCAAGGTGCGCGGCCCCTTTAATTCCCCCCTCCCACCTCGCTTGACAGCCCCGGCGGGCGATGATGTCTTCTCCCGAGAGCGTGCGTGCGTGCGCGTGCCCGTGTGGCTATTTTGAAAGAGGGAGGGGGCGGAGCCACACAAAATGCAAATTAAGGGGAAGAGGAGAAAAAAAAATATTTGCCTTTGAAAAAAAAATTGTAGGAAGATAGGTATATTTTTTTAGTAACTTTTCCCACTTTTGCTTTCTATATTGCCTTCTGTTTTTTTTTTAACCCGCCTTGCTTTGGCTCCCCTGTTCTAATCTATGGTGTGCTTTGCAGTCAGGCATTGCGCTGGCCCGCTATGAGCCTGTGCCTTGCTGGGGTCCTGCCTCGGGAGCCCGTGCGGGGATGTCTCGGAGACCCCGCGCTGACTGCTGCTCAAACATCACGGTGAGTTTGTTACAATGTAGCAATTTCTCTTTAAATCTCTTAACTCTCTCTACCTGCGGCTCAGGGCTGTGACAGGGCGAGGAAACAACACCGGGGGGAGGAAGGAAAAAACAACCCTGGCCCCCCTCCCCTCCCTCGGCTCCCTCCCCATTGCTTCCCCCACAAGCAGCCTCCTATCCCTCTGTCTGCACACAACCAGAGACCTCTTGCTGCTTTGATAGGTCTTCCTATTTTTCCCCAAAAATTGAGAATACATTTCCTTTCTAATCCTTGAGGGGGGGGGTGTTGTTGGGGGGTAACCTCCCCCACCCTGAGCCCTCCCCTCTTCCTTGGTAGACCCCTCCAGGTTCTAGAATAATGGGGGGAGACCAGGATGTGTCCTCTGGAAGGAGTGGGGAGGAATTGATTGGTTTCCTGACAGTAAAGGTATCTTCTGTTTTGCTTCTCTCCACCTCCCCCCCAATTCCCCTCCCCTCCATTTCCAAAATAAATGCAAAGGAGTACCCTCCCCCCACCCCTAGTAGATAAGATATGAGGACTCTGGTTTGTTTATCTCGCCAAATGCAAGGCCAGAAAAGCAAAAAAGGATTTATTTATTTGCTGTGGTGTCAGATTGGAAAGGGGGAAATCCCCCCCATTCCCCCCCATTTCCAAAATAAATGCAAAAGAGTGCCCTCCCCCCATCCCTAGTATCCCTAGTAGATAGATAGGAGGTCTCTGGTTTGTTTATCTCGCCAAATGCAAGGCTGGAAAAGCAAAAAAGGATTTATTTATTTGCTGTGGTGTCAGATTGAAAAGAGGGAACCCCCCCCCCCTCAATTTCCAAAATAAATGCAAAGGAGTGCCCTCCCCCCATCCCTAGTTGATAGATAAGAGGTCTCTCGTTTGTTTATCTCGCCAAATGCAAGGCCGGAAAAGCAAAAAAAGGGTTTATTTATTTGCTGTGTTGTCAGATTGAAAAAGGGGGAAATCTAGTGTTTGTGGTGTCTGCACAGGGATATTTTTATTCAGGCCGTGTGTGGAAACATGATTGTTGGAGTCTTGATTTTTTTAAAAGGATAGGTTTGGTTTCTGCCAATCTGGCCCCAATCTCCTCTTCATGAAATCTCAATCTTGGGCTTCTGGCCTTCTCCCGCAATCCATTACCTGTCTGTTTTGTACTGATATGGTTCAAGAGGGAAGCAGCACAACGCAATGAAAACAAGAAGTCTACTATTTCTTCTCTAAGTCATTATTTCTACCAAATGCTATATCCTAACATTTATGTTCCATAAAGGAAGACCTAGCAGGAGTAGGTTTGTCTTCTGCCAATCTCCCCAACCTCCTCTTCATGAAATCTCAGACTTGGGCTTCTGGCCTTCTCCCGCAATCCATTACCTGTCTGTTTTGTACTGATATGGTTCAAGAGGGAAGCAGCACAACGCAATGAAAACAAGAAGCCTACTATTTCTTCTCTAAGTGATTATTGCCACCAAATGCTATGTTAGGAATTGTGAGAGCTGAAGTCCAAAACACCTGGAGGGCCAGAGTTTGCCCATGCCTAGGCTATCCTAACACTTACGTTCCATAAAGGAAGACCTAGCAGGAGTAGGTTTATCTTCAGCCAATCAGTCCCCAACCTCCTCTTCACGAAATCTCAAACTTGGGCTTCTGGCCTTCCCCCGTAATCAATTACCTGTCTGTTTTGTACTAGTATGGTTCAAGAGGGAAGCAGCACAGAGCAATGAAAACAAGAAATCTACTATTTCTTCTCTGATTATTGCTACCAAATGCTATATCCTAACATTTATGTTCCATAAAGGAAGACCTAGCAGGAGTAGGTTTATGTTCGGCCAATCTCGCCAACCTCCTCTTCATGAAATCTCAAACTTGGGCTTCTTTCTGGCCTTCTTCCGCAATCCATCGCTTGCCAGTTTTGTACTGATATGGTTCAAGAGCAAAGCAGCACAGAGCAATGAAAACAAAAAGTCTACTATTTCTTCTCTAAGTGATTATTGCTACCAAATGCTATATCCTAACACTTATGTTCCATAAAGGAAGACCTAGCAGAAGTAGGTTTATGTTCGACCAATCTGTCCGCAACCTCTTCTTTATGAAATCTCAAACTTGGGCTTCTGGCCTTCTCCCGTAATCCATTACTTGTCAGTTTTGTACTGATACGGTTCAAGAGGAAAGCCTCACAGTGCAATGACAATAAGAAGTTTGTTTGTGGGTTTAACATAACACAAAAACCACTGGACGAATTGACACCAAATTTGGACACAATACACCTATAAGGCCAATGATTGACCACCACTCATAAAACACTGAAAAACACAGCAGAAGAGACTTTAAAAGCCAAAAAACAAAAAATAAAACACATGCATAAAACCATACACATATATACACAAATGTATAGACACGCATACACACAGACTGGGCCACAGCAACGCAGGAGGAGGTTTATCTTCTGCTAATCTGTCCCCAACCTCCTCTTTACAAAATCTCAAACTTGGGCTTCTGGCCTTCCCAGCAATCCATTGCCTGCCTGTTTTGTACTGATATGGTTCAAGAGAAAGCCACACAGCGCAATGAAAACAAGAAGTGTACTATTTCTTCTTTTAAGTGATTATTGCTACCAAATGCTATCCTAGGCTGTTGGGAATTGTGGGAGTTGAAGTCCAAAACACCTTGAGGGCTGAAGTTTGCCCATGTCTGGGCTATCCTAACATTTATCTATATAAATAAAAATGTAATGTTCATTTGTGGGAATAATATAACTCAAAAACTACTGGACGAATTGATGCCAGATTTGGACACAATACACCTATCAGGCCAACGAGTGACCATCACTCATAAAACACTGAAAAACACAACAGAAGAGACTTTAAAAGCCAAAAAACAAAAATTACATTACAACGCATGCGCAAAACCACACACATATATGCAAACACACATATATACACAAATATACAGACACACAAAACACATATACACAGACTGGGCACAGCAATGCGTGGCAGGGGACGACTAGTGTTTCATAAAATAAGACCTAGCAGGAGTAGGTTTGTCTTCTGCCAATCTCCCCAACCTCCTCTTTACAAAATCTCAACTGAATTTGGTCGTTTGCTTCTGTAATTTTATTCATGTTCTATGGACATCCCTTGAGTGACGTATTTTCAGTAGTAGTGATATTTATAAAAACATTATATGTTTAAAATTAATGTTAATGAAAGGTTCCTGGAGACCAGAAACTGGACTGAAATGTATTATTTGTTGTTGTTGTTGGAGTGGACTTTGGAATGGTGGATTTTAACAAACACGTTGCTGGGTTTGGCCATACCACTTGGAAGATCTTAATATTAATTCCTAAAGAGAATTAATTTTAGGTTGTTTCTTTTTTTAAAAGTATATTGTGTTATTTACAAGTAACAGTACGATCTAAAATTAAAACATATAGTGATATGGCTTGGGATTGTATTGCCGAAGGCTTTCATGGCCGGAATCACTGGGTTGCTGTGAGTTTTCTGGGCAGTATGGCCATGTTCCAGAAGCAGTCTCTCCTGATGCTTTGCCCTCATCTATGGCAGGCATCCTCAGAGGTTGTGAGGTATATTGGAAACTAAGCAAGGGAGGTTTATATATCTGTGGAAGTTCCAGGATGGGGAAAAGAGGCAATTGTGTGGGAGCAAGTGTGGATGTTGMAATTAMTAACCTTGATTAGCATTGCAAAGCCTTGCAGCTTCAAGGTCTGTCTGATTCCTGCCTGGATTGAAATTGATTTTGTTTATAATTTCTGGTTCAATTAACTGCTGGAATCCAGAATATTTACTTAAGCATTTGGCCAGCTAGCTATTGCACTAAAATTACCTGATTATAAATGTGTATAGATGACATTATTTTCCCTGTGGCCGTGAATACATTTATTATGAAGCAAGGCCTATAGAAATTTTTCAGGCAGTTCTGAAAATTTGGTTAAGTTCAAGGTTTTGCTGTCAGAATCATTAGATAGCATTTTAATTTTATTTCATGTTGTTCATTTTAATTTTATTTCAGTTGTCCAGCCGTTCTTATGCTATTAAGAAATAGATCAATAGCAGTAGTTGTGATTAACTCATTCCCTTAAAAAATGGGGATCCAGGTTTTTTTTTCTTGTTATGCTGAAATTTGAACCTTTCTTTTCCTTTCCTTTTTAGAAAGCATTATATAAGAGTGGTCACCCTCCCCTCCCCCATAGCTGCTTTTTTTTGGAATTGTCATAGTCTGCTTTGTTGTATGTGTGCCAAATTATTGTGTACCAGTTGGTGTGGATCCATTCTATTAAGTCAAGTGGAAACCAGAGGGGATTCGTCGTCATTGACAGCTGTGAATGTTTAGGGAGAAATAGAGTTCATTGAAAACATGAAAATACGGAATTTGTGCTATTTTAGTTGGAATTGAATTTCTTACTTTCAATGCCAATACTATCCCTTTAACTATATATTATACAATGTAAAAAGACCAGGCTTCCTTAACTACATAACAAGAAGAAAATAAATAGAAACCCTGGAATGTTTCTTCTTTGAAGTGCAGGATGCTTGAGATAGTCTGAAAGAGGAAGTTGTGCCATTAAGTCTAGGTATTGTTTGGACTTCAACTCCCAGCAGCCCTAGCTACTCAGCATAGGTAGTAGTGAGGAATGCTGGGAGTTGCAGCTCAATAGTGTCTGATGGGCTGTGTGTTTTGATGGCCAGTCTAAGGATCTGATCAATAATACGGTAATGCATCTCCCCCAACCAAGAGTTTTGATTATGTGTTTTGTTAATTTATACAAAGAGAGCAGGAGAGTTGTTCAGGTAATACTGATCTATAAATGCAGCTCCCATATTTAATATGTATTAGTAAATGTGAATAACAAATGCTTGGAAGTGGTAACAGATTGGGCAAGGACAAACAAAATGAAGCTTAATCCAGGTCTAATAGTGTTGCTTATTTTTTAGGAAATAGTGGTGCATCAGTATTTAGGGCAGGGGTCCTCAGAC